GAAAGGACGAACGAAGAAGATTGCTGACCATGACGAACAACAGTGCATATCCAGACGAAAAAAAAAAGCGTTCCTTGCTTTCACGCAAGGACCCCTTGCCGGACATGTCGTCGACAGCACAGTGTCGGCAGATCCACGTTTGTAGGCTGCAGACCCGGCAGACGTTTTGATCAGCCCGGCCTGGTGGTGAGATTTTGGACCCGGGAGTACTAAAAACTGCTCGCATCCCAGGGTGCTCAGTTTCGCTCTATCCGATCGAGTAAGGCTTCCAGAAAGGCCCTCAGGTGCGCGGCCTGCGGTGCCATAATATACCTCACTCAAGGGCTGATTTTATTTGCAACCGCGGGAAACGAAGTCACCAAGACGCCTTCATTTGAGGCTTTCGGAATTGGAGAATTTATTGAATTTAGGTATGGCTCTCGTCCCTTCTAGAGAACTAACCAAGACCCTGTGGGGGCAGAAGGAGACTTCTTTGGCTCCGTGAATACACTAGCTATGCGGTGGTCTAGTTAGTTTGAGTGTGTGGTTCGTATTCAAAGTGTTCCAAGCCGCAGTTCACTCGAAGGTCATCGTGGATACGTCTGCACTTGAAAATCAAGGCTGGAAAGGACTGCCTGGTGTGTCCGAACGGTATGTTTTGCACTGAAGGCATTTTTTGTATGAATTGTTGAAAGTGTCTACTTGTTCGAAATGCAAAAGACATGGTCGTAGATCCTTGGCCCACAACACCCCACTAAATAAACTATGACCTGTCGTGAAATTATGTGAAATTGATCAACACAATCATCCACAAATTATCCTATGCCAAAGTACTGCAAATGCAAATAATGGCATCCCTTTACCTAGGTCATGTTTGTAGGGCCTTATGCCACATCTTTGCATGATTTCCTCATGCAAATCGTGTGCCTAGCTTCGAAAACACATTGCGCTAAGTGCCGAATATATACCTGTGAATCAGAACAACAGCACTCACTATTGCTTTCATGAGTGGTAATGGTCAGCTGAAAGGAAACTTCTATCCATCAACTCATAAGTAAAGTAATGACTAATCTCCTTGCTGCGCGTGTGGTTCCTTCGTATTTACATGTACCGTAAAGTACCGCCAGAGCGCCCCACCATCTCGTCCTTTCGGGGTCGTATTGTGGGGGTGGTCTCCTGTCTGTAGGTTATACGACACGAACTTTGTACACATATTGCACGTTCTGCAGACAATCTGTGCCTTCGAGCGGACACGAGCTCCACACAAAAACCTGCTTAGTGTGACCTTAGTACACTAAGTTGCTCACACCGTACGAACTTCGTTGCACTCTGCCATACGATTTTCCTTTCCCTGGCTGTATTATATAAATCTGTTGCAGCAAAATCAAGGTGGGGCGCTCTCGCGGTACTTTACGGTATGTGCGCCTCTCTGTGTTCGGTGAATGATTTTGAATATGTGCGCACGACTTCAGGATAGTGCACATTGTATGCATGTACCTGCATATGTAATCCTTTCATGATTTAAAAATTAGGAGCCGTGCTTCTCATCACCGTGGACAAGTAAATGTCGGCCAATTACGTAGCGTTTGGAGATTTGCACAAGTACAGTTGCGTGTCGATTATGCGGCAACCGCGGAATAAAATGAATATTCTGGACGACTGAAGCTACAAAGCCATCTTGTGTTAACTTAACAGATCGAAAAGACAGTACTTCGAAGTACCTGTATTTATCACTAGTATTACCCTGAGAACAGTCGTGCTCATCTCTAGAGACTGGCTTGTATTTAACTCTACGTATTGGCAACTTTCATGATGCTGACTGTCTACATTTACTTGAAGTAGGACTATAAATACTAAATATAAGGTCTATAAGCAGTCAGTGCGGTGCTGTTGGATACCCGACATGCCATGTGACTGACTGCCAGATACTAGTAAACGACATGCGATTGTACCGGTCACAGTGTAGCTGGGTTTTCACGAAAATTTGAAACTTATACGATTGTGAGAAAAGTTCAGAAACCACACTTGCACATACACACACACGCACACACACACACACACACACACACACACACACACACACATGCGCGCACGCGCGCGTGTGCACACACACACACACCTGTCCTGTTCTGTTGAGCCACTACCACAACTTAGCACAAGGATCGCATCGGCCCCAAAGGGGCAGTAGAGCGAAAGTGAGAGGTGTTGGCTTCGAGTTCACCTATCTATACGGTGAACGCAACCTCGATCGAAAGTCATGCCAAACGGATTTATCTACCACACGCGCGCGTGCGCATATACAAAACGGAGGAAGGATTACTTACTCTCCCTGTATGATGTTTCTGTTGTGTTCGTGAACAATGTCATTGATGTTTTTCCATGCATGTTTTTAAATATGCGAGCATAACTTCCAACATCAAGCACATTCTTGCTACTCATCAGCATGTACAAGTTTATGTTGGGCAGTTATGTAGCGTTTGTTTTACCGGCTGCGTTTGTTGGTGCTTGCAGGTCATTGGCATGCTGTCTGTTTCACAGAAGCTCGTGTAACAGGTTCACCGTACAGCTATGAATGCAATGTAGCGTGTTGAAGCCACTTCGGTATGACGTGATGCCTAATTTCCTGGTTGTACCAAAATTGCGAGTATGCAAGTGATCGTCAAGCCTGCCCCTGTACAGTAGCCGTCTTGCCTTGTTACGCCTGGTTCTAACTCTGCGTTCTCGTATACTCCATGCAATGTTACAAGGAATACTGCTCCCTTCTCAAGCAATTCATTGGCAACAAAACGCTCGGCTATGCCCTGTAACTTTGCTGTGCGGTTTGTGCTTTGTCATTGTTGAGTACCAGTTCATGATCTGTGCTTGCTGGTCTGTTTGTTTTCTCTCGCACAATTGAGGCGCTGTAGCACAGTGTACAGTGTCGATCATCCTGCCCAGGCTCTGATTTCACGTACCACAGTACGGTTTCTCTTGTTGCTCACTGTAATGTGCATGATACAAGCTCCTTGGTACTCCATCATCACCTGGTGCTGTTGCTGCCATTGTTGGACCCTGCTGATATCCTTCTTGCAATGCCCGAACATTGTTCCAACAAATGCACAACTCGCTCTTAGTTGTCACATTCGGTTTGGTCTCGTTCCAGTCTTTCGAATTGAGTGAGTGCGTAAACTTGTATGAAGTGGTGAAGCAAAAGCCGTGCGCCGGCAAACATTCAATGTCCGGGTGTAATGACGCACCAAGGTCCCGGAACTTGCGTCCAATTCCTGAGTGATTTTTGTGTGCCTAGCCTCTAGGTATCATACCATATTATTTGTTTGGTTCAACCGTTTTGGATGCCCACTGCAATAACATTCACTGTATTATGTGTGTATGTTATCCAAGAAATCTCCCATATTTTTGGGTGGACAAACCTCGCCATAAGTCAGTAACCTGGCATTTTGCACTAACAGAACTCCTAGGATATCAGCGCCGTCTCAGTACCTGGGGACAGTTGTAAAGAAAAAGAAAAAATATCCTTGGCCCACAATGCCCCACTAAATAATCCGAAGGGTGTCGCGAAGACGACAATTTCCTTACCTTTCTTTCGTGGACGAAAAAAGACACTTCGCTTCGTCCGTTGCGCATGAAACGAAACATGAGGGTAGTGTTTATCAATTAGAATAGGTATCATGCACGAAGGAATGGCGAAAAGGTACTATGCTCGAGCGCTGGTCGTCATCTTGTTTGTCAATTTTGAGTCCCATTGAGAATATTCTTCTCCAGACCTCTCAAATTTCCCGCGGTTGCAAATAAAAGTGCAACTTCTAGACGACTTTTTTGAATTTGGCGCACGGACTGCTCAATGAAGATTGGGGGTGCGCGTTATACAAAGGTGCGCACTACCGGTATACTCCGAAAAATACGGTAATTCCCGCCCCCTGCCGAAAACCCAGCTGGGAAGCGACATGGCGTGGGGGCGGATCAACGGTACTTTACGGTACATGTACGTGCGTTATATGTGAACGGCGTGCATGCTTGTAATGTATGAAAGGCGTCCGTGGATGTCCTGTGGACACGTTTGCACTTTTACAGTGAGTGTATATGTCTACACGCAAGCATATTGTCATAATAATAATAATAACATAAATGTAGAAGAGAAAAGGACATATGGATACGAGTTAAGAGTAACTCTCCATCACTGTAACATGATACTATACAGTCTCTTCTACATTTATTTATGGCTCAACATCCGAGTTTCAAATAATAACAATAATGATATTCCTAGTGTGAGGATTCTACTGAGAAAACAACATACATGACTGTATTAATAATGAGAACTGAATACAGTGAAGTTAGTTTGACCTCTTGTCTGTACATGTATGTGCAAAGCCTCATCTGTGGGATGAAGTATGCTGGAGAAATAATGTCTGGAAAACCGGGAGATTTTGCTATAACCATTCATTACTCACAGACATATCAGAGGACAGGGTCGCGGCCAACAACACTGCTGAAAATTAAACCAGTCCTGTTCACTACCTCATTTCAGCTTACTACAATGTAGACGTACTTCGTGTATTGTAGCTCATTTTCGCCGATTTGTACTCCTCAAAAAAGTACGAAAATACTCCAAGTGCCTGGTACTAAAATTAGAAAGAGCAATTATTGCTCTTCGCCGACTACTGTACGGAATATCTAGCCCTATCGTCACTGGTAAGTAGATCTACTTCTTCGGAGAATGTTTCGATATGCACCTCATGAACACACCAGACCCCACAGGTTGCCTTCCTGCACCCACTCAACCAGGAGAATGCATGGTCGTCTACAAGATCCTTACGTAGACGAGTAGCTGTAGATGGGTAGCATAGCATCGTGGTCTGGGTTTTTCTTTCATTCCCCTCGCGCTCGACGACCCGGGTAAAACTTGCATATGCGCATATGCATGCTGCATGATTTGCGCGGCTGTTCTTTCTGGGTACGCGACGGTTTGGCAAGTACAGTGTACGCGAGATTTCCGTACGACAGGTGGCAAATTCAAAGAGTGACAGCGCGCGAATGTAGAAGAGATTGGGCGCCTGTCTTTCCACCTTGTGGACTGCTGCTTCGATATCCAGCCTGTGACAACGCGCGAGCTTTTTCAGTACTTGTGCCTTCCGGAGAGGGAAGTTCTGAAATTTCGACAGTCAGTATCTTCGTTGTGTTCACACCCCAGTCTTCTTTCTGTTGGATGCTCAGCTAAGCTTACCGTAGTAAGGACAGTTCTGGAATGAAAAGTCCCTGAAGTCGGCTTTTACGGATTTCTATTCAACATGGCTACATCTAGAAGTGCCTCGCCCAACCGATCACCCATGGTGACAGTCTTCAGGTCGTGCGGCTTCCACAGTAATTTTGATCTGAAGGAGGAACTGGGTAAGGGCGCCTTTAGTGTCGTCCGAAAGTGCGTGAATAAGAAGGATTCTGCAAAGGTGTTTGCTGCGAAAATCATCAACAACACAAAACTGACATCGCGCGAGCTCCAGAAGCTCGAGCGTGAGGTGACGATCTGCCGGAAGTTGAACCACCCCAACATCGTTCGCCTGTACGATGCAATCCTTGACGACGGAGTTCATTACATGCTCTTTGACTTGGTGACTGGTGGAGAGCTGTTCGAGGACATCGTGGCTCGCGAATATTACAGCGAATCGGATGCCAGCACCTGTATTCAACAGATTCTGGAGAGTGTGTACTACTGCCATCGAAATCGTATTTGCCATCGCGACTTGAAGCCGGAAAACCTCCTGCTCGCCAGCAGGAAGAAGGGCGCGCCGGTGAAGTTGGCCGACTTCGGACTGGCTGTTCAGCTGAAGGACGAGAACACGTGGTATGGTTTTGCTGGCACACCTGGCTACCTGTCGCCAGAGGTGATTCGCAGGGAACCCTACAACGAGGCAGTCGATGTCTGGGCGTGTGGTGTGATTCTGTACATCTTGCTAGTTGGCTACCCGCCGTTCTGGGACGAGGATCAGCACCGACTGTACGCGCAGATTCGAGCCGGCACCGTAGAGTTCCCCAGCCCCGAGTGGGACAGCGTCACCGATGATGCCAAGGACCTCATCTCGAAGATGATCAAGGTGGACATGAACGAGCGATTGACCGCCGACCAAGCACTGAAACACCCGTGGATCTGCCAGAAGGAGCACGTGGCCGGAAAGGTGCACCGCCAACACACTATCCTGGGTCTGCGCCGCTTCAACGCGCGCAAGAAGCTGAAGGGCGCCATCTTGACTACGATCATCTCGTCCAGAATGAACCACGCCAACAACATTGCGTCCGGCCCGCACGTGTCGCGTTCCGACCTGGAGACCATCGCCAAGGAGTTCATCTCGCCGACCCACGCCAAGGCTGACCCCAGCGCCAACGGCGTGAGCCTGCGGACGCCGCGCAACTCTCTGATCCCGGAGCGGTCGGTCGAGCACTCGTCGGGCGCGCCGGCGTCCATGTCCTACTCGGACCCGACCAAGGAGGTGGTGGCCGCCACGCAGCAGCTGATGTCCGCCTGGGATTCCAACGACTGGAACTCGTTTGCGTTCCTGTGCGCACACGACATGACGTCCTACCTGCACGAGTTCAGCGGGCAGCGACTGCACGGCCTGGACGCGCACCGTTTCATCCTTGAGAACCGTGAGAAGCCGCAGGCCATGCAGAGCAGCCTGCAGTCGCCGCACGTGCACGTGTACTCGGCGGACTCTGCGTGCATCACCCTGACGCGCATCACGCAGTGGAAGGCGTCGAGCAGCCCGCAGGTGCAGTCGATGACGTTCAACGAGACGCTGCTCTGGCACCGACGCCGCAGCTCCGGCAACTGGCTCTGCTCTCACTACCACTCGTCCAAGTGCTGAGTGAGTGCGGCTGCTGCTGCTGTCGACCACCGTGGAGCGGACACGAGTTTACTCCTGTATGTACCCGTAAGTTACATGCACTCTCAGGCTTGTGTGAGATTGCCCGGATAGAACTTGCTGTGCCAGCGCTGACATTGCCTCTGGGTGTTTTTTTGTATTGAGGCATGTTACGCATTCCTACGCGGCACTAGAGAATTATTCTACATAGTTTACTGCTGCCGTTTCAGTGGGCACCGTCCGTTTGTGTTTAGAACGTGTAGTATGCATATTCCAAATTTTTTAATTCAACAACCGGTTTTGTTTGATTTTCTCTCGCTGCCGTCCTGAACTTCTCTCGCCCAATCTGGGTTCTTGATGTGGCAGCAGAGCGCACACACACACACACGCACCTTGAAATATCATTGATTCTTGTTGTCACCTGCCCTAGCATCTGTACATTGTCTCTGTCTTCAGTCATTGGCTCCACTGACAGCTAATTTGTTTTGTATATGATTTGTTGTTGCTGCTGCTACTGCTGCAAGCGCACTGTGGATGCGCCGGGTCGTTTTCCCCCGGTGCCGCTTGGGTTCTGCTGCAGCTCCCCACCCCGTATTTCCTCTGTTCTCTGTATCCACTTTCTTCCTGAGTTTTCGGACGAGGCGACGGGGTCACAGGACCCTGCGGCCTCTCGGACGCCAGGTCTGTCCAAGTCGTTCTTTTGTTCTATTCCTAGATATAAGGTTAGCGGAGCCGTGTGTATCTATATCTTCGAGTCGCATCCGGTGTTCTTTTAAGCGATGCACGCTCCGTACATTGCTGTGTATTTATTCTCGCCGTTTTTTAATCCCCCTCTCAGACTCACTAGCATATTCCACTAATTAGTTTCCCTCCCCTCTGCTATCTTTCCTGATTGCTCCCCCCCCCCCCCCCCGGTAGGCTCCGGCGGATTATGCTCGCGAAATCATGGAATTATGCTTTCATGGATACTCGTATTATGCTCGCAAGATCCTCATATTATGCTTTAGCATGCGGGGATACATATTCACTTTGTTGTACTTATGGACCCTCAAAGTTCGGAAAATTGTGCCATTTTCGTACTTGCAAGTGGCCATAAGTACAACAACATGTTACATGAGTACTGAGTCCCCATGCCAAGGTGTCCATGCATGCTAGCCTAGAGATCAACATGGAAAAGAGAAAACATTACTTCTTCTATTCATTCGATGACTTCTTTTGTAAAGAGATTTTTTCATTGCCGAATCAGTTTGAGTTACCTTCGAAAATTATCATGTTCAACTGTCCTCGTAATTGTCATACTCGTCCAACCGATGTCACCCTCACCCTGCGAATAATCAGCTTATCTCTCCCGTAGCTCCACCTCTCCTTCCATCATGACCAAACAACTCTACCTCAATTTGTTTAGAGCAATATCCATAGCTTGCACAGTCATGGCTGCTAAAATCCATGACTTCGTAACATGCATCATAATGTAATGTACTGCCATGATTTCTACCCTGCGGTGCATTGAAAACACTATTATATCTGCGTGACCTCTGAACCCTTTACCATGCAGACCACCGGTCACCACCAGCACTGATCAGGTGCATTGCACACGCCTACATACTAGAACTGTGCTACAATCATGTAGTTATGCTCCTACCTCCGAAAGGATGCCAAATTATGCTCCAAATTTTCAACCACCAAATTATGCCAATAATTATGCCGGCATAATCCGCCGGTACCTACCCCCCGGCCCCTTTCCCAAGTCTGTGGTATCTTCGGCCACGTTCTATTGTCTGTCTGATACTCTTGTGTGTACACTGTGTTTCGCAGTTTCTCTGCCTCTGAAAAGCACACCTGCGTGGGTGCGACATGATCCTTTAAGTTTTGTTAACACTGGTATTCGTATGGTATTGAATGGAACTGTCCTCAATTGTGCAGTTCTGGACTGTGCGTATCATGTCTGCCCTGCTGAACACTGAAGTCCCCCAACTGTACTGCTGCAGCTCCTGTGCACGAAGTGCAATGGCTGTAACGTCAAAATTGTCATAATTTTTAGTGAAGTCCTGTTCTAGTACCAAGAGTACATAAACTGTTTATGTACTCTTGCTAGTACAGTGACTACAGGACTTCACTAAAAATTACGCAGTCTATACTGCACATGGCTAGTTTTAGCAGCGCAAGTGGTCTTCTTTTTTTAACGAAAGGTGTGCTTTCTGTTCTCTTTAATTGCTCGCCAAAATGTAATTGTAGAAAGGAAAAGGACATTATGGATACGGGTTAAGAGTAACTCTCCATCACTGTAACATGATACTATAATTATACAGTCAGAAAGTGCAATAACTAGGCGCAAAACTAGACATTCGACGTCCTGCCATATACCACCCAGCTTCAACACATCTCCGTAGCGCTAACCGACAGCCTTCCAACTTGGAAGGTTCAAGATTATGGAAAAGACCAAAGAGGGGAAGGCAAGTGCAACGAAAACGAGCAAAAACTACAGTCCCAACGGAACAAAGAATGTCGATTGTTACTAGACGATGACGAGACCAGTACGATATTTGACAAAGCGGTCGAATAGCTCAGTACTCTGTCAGTTTGTGCCTAGTTATTGCACTGTCTGACTGTATAATTATAGACTATTAGTATCATGTTACAGTGATGGAGAGTTACTCTTAACCCGTATCCATATGTCCTTTTCCTTTCTACATTTATTTATGGCTCAACATCCGAGTTTCAAAAATTAATGCAATTCAGGGAGTCGTCAAATATTTGACGACTCCCTGATGTAATTATTATTTGAACACCATAATAATTACTATGCACGTACGGGGCAGAACAAGGTACAACAGAGACCAAAAATCTTTCTCGTAACTCCGAGTTTCGTGTTTCAAAGAAAACTCATCAGACACTTTGTTTACCATAATTATGCATAATATTGAAATACTACCACACACAAGATTATGGTCTGCACCTCAGCTCCTACAGCGCCTACAGACGAGCAAGAGAAACGACCAGTTCAGACCAAAAATAAAAGCAGTTTAATATCGACATAAACGCAGCGTGACTGAGTACAGAGTAGTACATGGATTGTGTTTGTTGCACACAAGCCAAGCAGCATAACCAGCCGGTCTGACTTCGGGTTTATCGGACGTAACAATTCTTCTTCTTCTTCTTCAGGTATAAAAGATTAAAGTAAAGTTTGCACGTCCGCGTTACAACCGGCCATACAAGTGCGTTAATTAGAGTGTTCAGTCATTCAAAACGAATACGTTGAGTCAGCAGATGGGACACAAAGTCCGCTCCCTAAATTCTAAGAGATCGACACAACACCGACAACAACTAAAATGGAGCGTTAAAGACATGTATGAACGATGGCTCTATCAAAGCGGGACATGATCGGATAGAGGAGATACGCTGGGAGATTTTAATATATGCTAAGACTGTGGTGCAAATGACGTGGCCGAGAGTTGCTACTACAAGAGAATAAGTCAGATAGGTTGGCTGCGGCTCAGGGGTGTGCCACTGCTCGACGCTAATGCGGAGTGCTAAAAAATCATAAAACATAATTTTAAGTACAAAGATATCATAATTGCACGAAAGGGGAACAGCAGGCGCACACCAAGTTGTCATGGTTACTAAAACGGGTAAAATAAGCTAGAATACAAAGGGCTCTTCCGGAAGTACGACCCGGCTAAACGTGCACCAAAGTTCGCCTCCATTGTCAGGCGTAAACAGAAGAAACATCAGGACATTAAAGGAGGCAGCTAAAGCATGCATCCATGGTTAAGAATGCGGGAATGATGCAACATACAAGCAACAACTGCTAAAAAAGGACAGACGCCGAAACTCAACGAAAATGTCGCCATACCAAATGTGTATCTAGCACGTACAGGTACAGTAGTAAACCCACTGCAATGATGAGTATGTTGACATGCAATACGGCATATGCTAACAGCAGTGGGAAGCTAAGTACCTAACACCATGTGGTGTGTGTGAGAGTGTGTGAGAGTGTGTGTGTGTGTGTGTGTGTGCGTATTTGCTAGGGATGTGCATATGCAAGGGATGTGCATATGCAAGGTGCGTGTGTGTGTGTGTGTGTGTGTGCATTTGCTAGGGATGTGCATATGCAAGGGATGTGCATATGCAAGGTGTGTGTGTGTGTGTGTGTGTGTGTGTGTGTGTGTGTGTGTGTGTGTGTGTGTGTGTGTGTGTGTGTGTAAAACAAGGCTAAACGGATGCTATAGAAGACCTCGGCGTGCGTAATGCCGTGGCGGGCAGCAGCTGCTGTAGAGGAACAGGTCCGGTAAAGTAGCTAGGAACATGTGCTAGTTAGTGACTATGAACTGGAAAACTAAAAATCTAGAAATCAGCGTCAAGCTCAAGCGTGCATGCGCACACTCGAGCCGGACAATAGAGTCGGGGTGGGGAAAGTGCAGTGCACACACACTCGAGCCGGGCAATAGGGTCGGGGGGTGGGGGCGGTGCAGAGTGTTGCGTGTTGCGACTGCGAAAGCTCACCGGCCGGCCATATCGCAGCCCTATCGCGGGGGTGAGAGTAAGTGAGCATACGTGCACTGGTTGGGCGTTACAACATTTGATATGTCAGTGTGCTGCCAGTCAAAACGGTGTGCCGGCCACCATCATAGGATTAAGGTCTTACTGAACCCATATCAATATGTGCTTAGCGATAGAGAGCGGTAGAGACACATCCGTCATAATCACGAAGAGAGGATAGAATACCAACGTGTGGTTATCCAGAGGGATAGAGACACATCTGTCACAGACACGGCAAGAGGATATTACGCAAGAGTAGTGGCAGGCGAGCGATGGCCACTGACTGCTTCGAGATGCCATCAAGCCATGCGGGGGTCATGGAGTCTAAACAGAGCTCTCCTCTTGCGGACGACTGGTGCCTCGCAGTACGGAGCGATATTTCGACTGGAAATCGTCCAGGTCGCTGTAGCAGCCTTGCAACTTCCTACAGCCAGCAAGAAAAAACCCAACACAGAGGTCATGGGAGAAGTGCACACACACACAAACGCACGCACACGCACACACACACACAAGGTCAGAGACAAAGCAGCATAGGACAGGCGCACACATGAAACGGGACAGAACCATACGCGTGCACAGCTGCAAACCCGGACGAACACAAGCAAACGCCCAGCCACGGACGGATCCACACCCACCAGCCCCCCCCCCCCCCCCTAGCCCACGTACACACGTCCGTCCGTGCAGAAATAGGAACATGATCGGAGAGAGAGAGAGAGTTCCTGACCTTCGCAGCGCCATCGGGTCGTACGCAGTTCTGCCGTGCATGACACGCCGGTTGTTGAAGATCACCAGCTCGCCGGGCTGCAGCTGGTGTTTGTAACGATACTCATCGCTGCGCACACAGTCGTTGAAGCTCCTGCACAACGGGGGGAGAAAAACCCAAATTTTACGGTTTGTGCGAGACTCGGTTGGACTGAGTTTTCCGCATCCGTAGGAATGTCACCATCCTCAAGGATCAAGGCGCAGATGCAGCTCCTAAAGCGGTGGGAGGTGAGTAGATCAGACCCACCCACACACCAACGATGTGGTCACAGACCAAAAATTCCACTTGCTGCACATCCGTGTGCGAGGCAAGGGATACAACAATACAGACGCACGCACACACGCACACACACACACACACACACACACACACACACACACACACACACACACACACACACACACACACACACACACACACACACACACACGCACACAGGGGAGACTCACTTGTAAGCAGAGTAGAACGGCAGGATCATGTTGGGCGCAAGCTGAAGTGGCGACATGCAGCGGTTGTTCAAGTGTACCTCCTCCACCTCATCACCACCGCTACCTGCCATGCAGATGATGGGAACTTCTTGTGTGTACGTGTGCTGTGTAGCAGGTAGGAAGGCACACACGCACATGCACGCACACACACACACACACACACACGAAGAAAACAACACCAGACTTGCCCATGCGCTCGATTACAAGCCCGGGGAGGGGGAGGAGCACTGACCAAGAGAGGGCGTTATTTTTTCATTTGCTCTCAGAGACAGGGGCACAAGTCGAGACAGGCCACTATTCAAGAGACGGTTCTAATCGCACGAATAAGGTAATCAGACATGGGGGTACCCTGGCACTTGCACAACTGCCGAAGCAGGTTGCGCTTCTGAACAAAATTCTGTACTTGGTGGTAACGCGGAAGTGCAGACTTTACTTTCTACACAGCACAGCTTTCGGACTATTCATAAGTTTGAGGGAGCTGGAGACGGGAAAAGTCTGAAGAAATAATTGACCGCCACCACCAGGACTCCAACCAGGGAGCCTCGCGATGCTCAGCGATGCTATACCACTAAGATATGGTGTAGTCAGCGACTCAGCGTGTTCAAATGCAAACTCAAGAGAGGGTGTAGAGCAAGGTATTCTTCCTGGAACAACATGTTCATCAGTTCAAGTAAAAGGCAAGATCGCCGCCCTATAAACTGGCAATATGAAGCGAGGGGGAACCCTGAGTGTTGAGCTGCTCGGCACACCCGGGCCGGGCCCCAATCAGGGTTCCCCCTCGCTTCATATGCGATCGTTGTCTGTGGTTGGCTGCAGCAGGGGGTGAACAATCGGCGTACACTCTTGGTCATGCAGAGTAAAACTTGCCAGGTCCGGGCAGGTTGGGACCGAGCACTGTCAGTGACTCAGAACATCCATACATACATGTGCTGCCAAGAGCATATACCCCCCCCCCCCCCCCGGGTTACATACTCTTGGTACTCCATGCAAGTCAACATTTTTCTATGTCAAGCGACACCTCGTTTTTTTGGGGTAGTTTTCGTTGAAATGCCAATTTTCGCAGATGGGTCGGAGAGGTGCCCGGTAGACAAACGTGCCTGGATTAAGGGCGTCCGGATCTGGCCAGTTTTCCTGTATTCCTACAGTCCAATCATCCCCCAACTGACACCCTAGCCGCTTTGTGTCTCCCACGGATAGTTGCAGATATCGTGAAAAGTTCACAACAACAGCACATCCTGCATTGTATGACCCGTGCAAGTATTCCTTGCCACACTTTTAGGCGGAAAGAAAGACCAAGGATAGAGAATTAGAAATTCCACAAGGTTTAAAAGAAGTAGGACGATATGTCATGGTAACAGGTGTGTAGACGCAGATCCAAAGCCAAGGTCCTAAAAATTTCAAGTGGGTTTTGAGGAAGTATACCCTAAAATCAAATTCTCACCAGTTGTAATCTTCGGGGTGCCGAGTCGAATGGTCTTGGTCCGAGGACGCTCCCTTTCTCCTTTATTCCTAATCGAACTCGCGCCCTTCCACCGGAACTGGGTGACTGCGCCCTACTAGATAGGGATTTGTATGGAAAAAGTCACTAAAAACGCCGTTTCGTTCTTATAAAAGCACGGATGACCGCGGTTGGTCCACATGTTGTAGTCTTTTGGACCCTGAGTCGACTGGTTTTGGTCCGAAAAGGCTGCGATGCAGCGTTCGGCCCTTATTCCCAATCGAACACGGTTGAGTAAGCGGTCACGTGCTTATGCGTACACCAGTCGCCTGGTCACCGTGCCTGCAGGCTACAATTTTCACATCAAAGTTCAACTCAAAGGTTCAAAGCAGGGAGCCGTAAGAGGCTTTTACGACTCCCTGGTTCAAAGGTTCAACTCGAGTGACATAAACGGGCCCAAACAGGCTGTAAATGAGCACGTGACCGCTTACTCAACCGTGTTCGATTGGGAATATGGGCGGAACGCTGCATCACAGCCTTTTCGGACCAAAACCAGTCGACTCAGCGTCCAAAAGACTACAACAGATGGACCAATCGCGGTCATCCGCGCTGTTATAAGAACGAAACGGCGTTTTTAGTGACTTTTTCCACACAAATCCCTATCTAGTAGGGCGCAGTCACCCAGTTCCAGTGGAAGTGCGCGAGCTCGATTGCGAATAAAGGAGGAAGGGAGCGCGTCTCAGCTTCCTCGGACCAAGACCATTCGACTCAGCACCCCGAAGACTACAACTGGTGAAAATTTGATTTTAGGGTATGGTTCCCCTTTAATTCGGCCAAAATCGAGCTTTCAAAGCCAGCTAGACTGTAGATAGTCAAGAAAAAGTGCAGCAAAACATCTAGCAAAAACTAGGCCATGATGACAAATTGTTGGCCAGGTTGATTTGGGCAAGGACATGTTCAGAGAAAGAAAACAAAATAAAGAAGCGCCCAACGTGGGGCTCGAACCCACGACCCTGAGATTAAGAGTCTCATGCTCTACCGACTGAGCTAGCCGGGCTGCATGGAGGTAGAGTGCACGGTTTGTGGCAAGAGTACGTAACGTGCCAGAGCGTGCAACTCCACTGTCAATGCTGGCCGATGGAATTTCACATTGACGTCTTATTTTTACGATGTATGCATCCCACAAGAAGAGCAGAGAGAATGTGTTGGGACTCGAGAGTTTCACGCACAAGACAGCGATCCGTCTACTTGTGCGACTACTTGTGAACGAAACTTCGAGTCCCAGCTCTTTGTCCCTACACTTCTCGTTGGATTCAGTGCATACAGATTTTCAGGCGTATTTTCAAGTACGGCGAACTCTGGGATGTCTTGCCCGTCTGGGTTGCGGTCATGATGCAGACTGTAGAAGACGTGTTAAACACACGGGGCAGCTCTCATCACGCAGAGGTAGCGAGGCACACGCTCCAACACCCCGAAAAGGACATAAAAAGAGAGCGTGTAACTCCGCAGTCTACAGACTACATGCCGCATCAAACCACTTCCGCTGCGAAGCTTGTTGTGTAGCTCATCACGAATTACAGCCGTCCCTCTTTAACCTGGCACTTTATACACCAGCACCCTCCACAAACCAGCACAATTTTCAGTAGCCAAAAAAAGTCCTCTTCATGCACATTGCAGCAGTAAATCGGATTCGTTAATGCAGCAGAATTTGCGGAGCACACATGGTGCTGTGGTATAAAGGGACCACTGTATATCAGCACACGAAGCACAGAAGCCATATCATTTTTTCGACTAGGCCTTTCATTCCATTGCTCTTCAGGTGCGAATACAATGGTGTATTCGCACCATTGTATTCGACCTGAAGAGTAATGGAATGAAAGGCCTGGTCGAAAAAATGATATGGCTTCTGTGCTTCGTGTGCTGATGTGCTTTCCTCCAACCAGAAACCTATTCAACCCCTGTACACGTAACCAGTCATACAGCGGAGGCTATAACAGTATGAGACATCCAACAGCGCGCTCATTGCCTCTAGTGCGCTGTGCTGCTATGGTGATTAGGAGACGGAACTTGAGACAGCGGACGGCCCATAGGCTAAAATGGATTACCACACCGCCTCCTGGGTGCTGGTCTGGGACCGAGCGGAGACATACATGCACGTACACACATTCACATCCACCCGCACACCCGACCCCCCACCCCCACACACACACATGCACAAACACATGCACACCCACACACAAACACACACAAACACACACACACAAACACAGGATCTCGCCTACCTCCTTATAGCGTATGGAGAAGGCAACCGGCGTTGACGACAAAATGTGGAACGCAGATGGGTTGTTCTGGCGAAGGTGTTCGGTGACAGCGAAGCCGTCGACAAAGATATTCAAACCTTGCTTGTCGGCCGGAATAGAGTGCTTGGGTTTCACCCAGGTAAGATCCATACAGTGTAGAAACTGCAAACCTGTCCATATATACGCATACATATACGCACACACATACACATACGGATGCACATACAGATGTACATACACATACGGATGCACATACACACATGCACATGCACATACGCATACACATACGCATGCACATACGCATACACATACACATGCACATACGCATACACATGCACATGCACATACGCATACACATGCACATACGCATACGCATACACATACACATGCACATACGCATACACATGCACATACGCATACACATACACATGTACATACACATACGCATACACATACACATGCACACACACATGCACATACAGATGTACATACACATACACATACACATGCACATACACATACGCATACACATACCGGACATAAGGAGTTGAAGGACTTGCTTACTGCGGCTTTGATCACCACAGTACATGTACTGGACTTGAAGAGTAATCATGGTAATGGTACGAAAGGCCTAAGGGGCCGTCCGGGGTTACCGATTGTTTTTTCAAAACGAAAAGATTTAGTATTTTTCAGCCCCCACCCACCCACCCACCCTTACTGCATCTAGAACGAAATATATTAAATTATTGATTTCAATAATCACAACCTGGTATATTCCATGTATACAATATGATTCATGAAGGCTATCATCACGAAATTGAACCCAGTCAAGATAGGTAAAGCATACAGCTCAGAGAGGTATGTACAAGAGACAGCTAGCTGTATGAGAAATCAAAAAACATCTGCACTGTCCGTGGCATTATCAAAATACACGACATGATACACAGTGTTCAAGATTTCCTTGGACGACCTCGTCCAAGGATGTGTCCGGTTGACTTCTTATGCTGCTGAAGCTGGTACAGCGTGGAAAATGCGTCGCCACAGCCTTCGTAGGTACATCGGTGGCAAGTGCGCTTCGGCTGCGTAGCATTGGCCGCGGAGCTCCCTTCTCCCGGGGTGGAGATAACGGTGCGTTTCTCCTGGCGAGCCTTGGCCATGTCTACCCTCCGCTGGTTCTCATGAACCAGCTGATAGTGGCGATCCTCATCTCTCTTTGACGAAAATACATACTTGCAGCCATATCTGCATAGCACCACCTCCCGGCTACATAGGGCGGAGTCAATGGCGGGAGACTCCTTTCCAGTAGCCAAGCGGAGTTGGCACTCGGAGAAAGTCATGAAGTGACCTTCATCCTTGCTGCTTGGCTCTGGAGTGAACAGACGCCCACCATTGGCCCGGAGGAGATCGACGGCACCAGATTCTCGGCATGGCAGGCTGCGGCAGCTCACACAGCTTCCATCCGTGCACCGAAGGAACATGGTCAGGTACCGTGACCGTACTGCGTGCTTGCACAGGAAGATGAGCAGGGTGCGCACTGTGCTCATGTCGGCATCCGCTGCAATGTGCCGTAGAGATGACTTGACAAATGTGTCAAGGTTGCCATGATCGGCATAGGCCTGCTGGGCATTTTCACTTGCCACAGCGTGCGCAAGAACAGGGTGGGTGTCGAAGGAGCATTCGTTCCAATACCCACAAAGGATACTGATGGCTTCATCAAACACGGTTGCCTCCTTCTGACGACACTCTGCTTCGGATAGATGCTGCTCACTAGGCGGCGCTTCTCCAGGCTCGTGATTCGGCAATGTGACACCAGTCAGTTTGCGTGACAGAACAGACCATGCATGTTCAATGAAGTTGAAGGCCGACTGACCAGGCGCATGGGTGCACATTATCAGACAGTCTAGGTCAAACTCCTTCCACAGCCGGCCATACGCCAGAAAGTTGACGAGATGGTTTGGATTGTGGTCAGGACCACCATCGACAACGAGAGAGAGGACAGTCTTTGTTCGCAGCTCTGGGACTTCCTCCAGCAGAGTGGCAAGATCCGAAGTGTGCGTCACACTGGTTGAGCTGTGGAACTTAGATGCCCGGCAGAAGACATGGACGGGTCCAGTTTTCGGATACTCTGTATGTACACGCTGCAGCTTATCCTTCCTGTAATGATTATCAGTACGCTGTGGACTGTGACTGCGGGAACGCCTGGCAATGATGGCCGCATCGCGCTGGCAACGGCGTGGTGGTGTGCTCCTGGCACGGCGATGGTGATTGGACTGGTGCTGATCCTTTGCCGTAATGATCATGTAGCCAGACGGGATGATCTTCGAGTTCCTGTACGGAAAGTCATGATCCGGGTACTGCGGTGCATCATTAACAGGAAAGAAGCGGTTGATCTGGTGATACCGAGAAACAGCAAGAGTGCCAACGTTGACCTTGTTCATGTCATCACAGGAAATGACACAGCACTCGGGAAATGTTGCGGAGAACTCCATCAGATACTGCACCTGAGCAAAGGCAAAATGGCTGTCAGCGTGCACCTTACGCAAGGAGTTGTCCTTGCCAGGAACTCTGGCCTGGGTAACTGCATGGTATCGCTGGGCATTGCGAGTTCCGGCTCTAGGTGCGACAAACAACTCGTGGATGGTTGTACGAGATATTCCGCAAGCTCTCAGTGCAGGAACTGTCTTCAGTAGATGAGATCGAATCTCAGCCAGAGAAACACCAAGGGCATTCCCAGTTGCAGATCGGCGACGAGACTGAGCTGCAAAACCATGCTGCTGAAGGAAGTCGGTTACGACAATCACTACCTCTGGGATTGTTTGATACATTGGCTTTGGGCCATGTCTGCCTCTGGGTAGATGATCGGCCACACTGCTGCCACTGACACTGTCAGAAGGTGAAACATTCACCTTCTCCTCAGACAACATCACAATGTCAGCAAATGTGTTTCCAACCCTGTCCAGGGTGAAATCCGCCATGTTCGCAAGAGCCCACTGGCCGGTTGAGACCTGATGGATGCTCATGATAGGGAACAACTTCAGCAATTGCTGCACAATACGACTGGAAGTTGACGCATCAGTACTGGTGTCATGTGGGAACTGGACATGCTCCAGGATGTGGGACAATGGAAGCACATTCGTCATTCGAAGAAGTTGGGCAGCATCGACTAGCTGCTTCACCTTCAACGGAGCACCCACAGCCTCATCTGCTTCAGCCTCATCATGTAGACCCTGAATGGCATCATCCCATGACGTATTGGGGTCCACAACGCAGTCAAGTCGGATGTCCTCAGCACGGGTTCGAAAACGACCGCGAGATTTCATTTGGGAGTTTCTAACTGACAGACGCTGAATCGGATCTTGCAGTTTGCGGAATAGAATGCATGTCTCGGCACATAGCTTGGTGACTGCTTCCATCTTCCTGTTCAGTTGGGCTGATCCTACTGAAGTGAGCAACTGCTGCACGTTTACTGTTATGTTTGAAACCTGAGCAATGGCAGATCGTAATGTATTTACTTGATTGTCCACCTCTTGAAGACTGTTGGCTAAAACTGATTTCTGCCGATTAAACACTGAAGATGATCGGTAGTACTTCAGCTCCGCAGTATACGACAAGTAGCTGCTGGCAGTTTTCTCCAGCTCTTTCATTAGCGTCTTGTTCCCAGTAACTTCAGCAGTGAAGAAGTTGTTCGAGGCAGCACCAATTGCGTCAAAAAACACCACTATACCATCGTTAACTTCAGGTATACGGCTCAGCACCGCTGGCTGACTCGTTTGCTGTGAGCGATTGGCAGAGGTCTTCTCAGAATTGCTACACTTATCGGCTGGCTCAAAATACGATTTGAGCAGTCGCTCACTACCGGTGCTAGCAGCACTTTGTCTTCTGGCGGCTGCAGCTTCCTTCAAAAGTTCCTCACGAGCTGATGAATCAATTGCGTATTTTTCTTTCCAGGAACGCTGTGCGCCAGCAAAGAATGTCTGCTTGTCAGCATCTCCGGGAGCCAAGGTCCACAACGCCTCCACAACGTCATAATAAGTATTGGGACGATCGGGGGAGAGATCGACACGCTGGAAAAACTTCGGTTTCACCTTCCTTCGACCAAACAAAGTTGTTTGAATAGACATCGTTCTAACTTCTAGACATCGCTCGCTTGAGTCCTCCTCCAAAACTATGACCACAGTCCTGTGGAAGCTTTCTTGCCATTCGACTTCTACTTCCTGCTCCGACGTCTCTGTTTGTACGTGCACGGTTCCTCCGCCACTCACGATGCAGGCGTGAGCGGGCCTATCTTGGCGGGCTTGGCCAAGGCTCGTACCGCCGGGTACGACACACACACACAATCGTCGCCAAAACAATCCGGCCAAATGCAATGCTAGCTAGTTCCGGTAGCTGTGCGTAGGCGCTAGGCCGCATGCACTGCCACTGAGGCATGGCACATGCTGCCAGGTGTGCATAAACTCAGTGCAGTGCTCGACCCGACCGCATGCAGCAGGCAGAGTGCAGCGCTCACTGGATGCAGTGACTACAAAAAAAGTTGTAGTATATCTACATTTATACTGAGCTTGTATACAAACTCCAATCTCTCCCCACACAACACTCCAGACTTGTATTTTGCATATAACAGGTACTTCGATGACGAGAATATAAACTGGTATATAAACTGGTATATAAACTGGTATATAAACTGGTGTATAAACTGGTATATAAACTCCTTTTTTTTTAGGATTACACTAGTGACCTGCAGTCCGCCTTGATGGTTTTTCGACATGCACGACGGTCCCAACTTCAGGATCTCTTTCCCGTCAACGATGAAGAATACAACGTCGTCCTTTGTAACATGTGCCATGTGCTGCACCTGACGTTCGAGGCTGTCCTTCTTTCGCTGTTTCAGCACTCCGTCTGTCAAGCGCAGCACTCGACATGTGCGGCTGAAGAGCCCCGCGGCCGGCCCGCGTGCCGCTCCTCCTGCGTTTTTGCATGGACATAGAATGCAGATAGCAGGGGCGACGGAACTTCACTACTGATGGTTTTCCAATCGATGTTCTCCTTTCCGCGTCCCTCGCAGAGCGGACGGAACATGCGCAGCCATAATCCGTGGCACTGCCAGTGTTCTTAGAAACTGCTGCTTGAATAATGACATCGTGATTCGTGGTCGTCCTCAGAAGAAACGTTTGGGAGTCGATTCAACAGGCTCGTGCTGATTCATTTTACTCTTACTTTGGAAAGGAGACGAACTCTATGTCTCTAAAGTCTAATGAGCAAACGGTTCTTTTACAGAGCCCTCGGTGAGATCTGCGCGCGGTAACGGTCACTAGCACTGTGAGGTAACTGGTTCAAACTAACTTACTTGGCGCATAGCTGTTACTTCCGGTGTAACTAGTACTTCAGTACTAAACTGAAGTCACAAAGAGTGTGTGATGGTACTGCACTGCATGTACCATGTGTACTGCACAGAGTCAGTGGTAGCCTTGCACTTGATCCGCACTGGGTTGGTGAAAGGAAGACTCGTCGAGCCATGGTTGTGGGTTGGAATTCCAATCTCTACCCTTGTGGGGGAGAGGGGAGTTTGTATATCAGCTCAGTATAAGCATAATATAACCTACTCAGTTGATTATATGGGAAATATAAACCAATATACAAACCTCGGCTTCGCCTCGGTTTGTATACAGGTTTATATTTCCCATATAATCAACTGGTTAGGTTATATTATATACGTAGATGTAGGAGTGGTGCTCAAAATCACACCTCGGCCACCTACTTTGCCCAAGGTGTACGTGTACGACCATGCAAGGCCAGCTCCCAAATCCGTTGCATGCAGCTAGGTTGGTAGTGCATGCACGCACACGATGTAGCCCGAAACGGCGCATTGCATGCAGTCGACTACCATACCAAGCTTCACATCCACAGTACTTTTTGGTGCAGTCGCGTATGATCTCCACGACTCGACCAAAAATCTACTGGGAAGCCGTGATTATTTTTCTCCTTTTGGGCTTGACCTTTTTGATGGAAGAAAGCCCTCCGCCAGATTGAGGACCCTGACGGTGACGACAGTCATGCCAGGAAGGATAGACTCGTGCCACGGTAGGTGTCGAGAGGTGCTCCATTTCCACTGGGTTACTTTTATCTTGTCGTCCGTTCGACATTT